GAGCTGCTGCTGCAGCTAATGGCTGTGCTTCTGCTTCTGTTGCTCCTGTTGCTGCCGTCGTTGCTGCTGCTGGCGAGGCAGCGCGCTCTGCCTTCTCTTGCTTCTCCTTCCCATTGAATCTAGGGCATGATGCGCTGTTGCTGCTGCTGCTGCTGCTGTTGCTGCTGCTGCTGCGGCAGCTGCGAGGGGGTGGTCGTGCAATGGGAAGAACAAGAGGAGGAGAAGTTGCTGTTGAGGCGGCAGCAGCAGCAGCTGCTGCTGCTAATCGTTTGCTGCTGCGCTGCCCTGAACCTGTAGGAGTGCAGATACAGCTTTCACTGCCTTCGGCCTCTGCTGCTGTTGTTGTTGCTGCTGCTGCTGCTAAAGGTCGCTTCTTCCGCGGCAGCACAGCAGCAGGCACAGAAATGCTGGCAGCAGCAGCGCCTGCAGCTGCGGCTCGTGGGCTGCTGCTCCTTGCTGCTGCTGCTTCTGCTGCTGCTGCTGTTGCTGCTGCTATGGGGGATTCAGACGAAGCCCACGCACTGCGGCGTGCTGCTGCTGCAGCCTTTGGCGAATTCAGTTCCTGCTTCTGCTGCTGCTGCTGCTGTTGTTGCTGCTGCATCCAGTGTGTCTTGGGCGACGAGGCTTCTTTGCCGTCTGCAGCAGAGCAGCAGCAGGACTCGCTGCTGCTGCTGCTGCTGCTGCTGCCGGACACGACGCGCAGCCACATGAGGCTGCAACCATCACAAGACAGCCGCGAAGGCCGTCCCACAAATTCGGTGTCGGTCATTGCTGCTGCTGCCGCTGCTGCTGCTGCTGTTGCTGCTGCTGAGGCTGCTGCCTCCGTAGCAGTCGACGTCTCCGCCGTCCCTGGCATAGCGTCTCTGCCCTGCTGCTGTTGCTGCTGCTGCTGCTGCTGCTGTTGCTGCTGCTGCTGCTGCTGTTGCTGCTGGCGTTGCTGCTGCGGGGCGCGTCTGGGCCAGAGGTACTGCCTTAGGCGGGGCTCATTAGAGAGCAGTACGAGCTGCTTCGCATGCAACCCTGCAGCAGCAGCAGCAGTTAACGTTGCTGATGCTGCTCCTGCTGCTGCCTTCAGCAGCAAATGCCTGTGGGCCATCAGCGCAACCATCAACAAACCCCGCACAGAAAATGTGGGGTAGCTGTTCTCCCACGTGCTTAGAGACATCAAGCCGCTGCTGCTGCTGCTGCTGCAGTTGCTGCTGCTGCTGCTGTTGCTGCTGCTGCACGGAAACAGACCTCCACCTCCACCGATCACTCTCCAGCTCCTGCCGGAGCCGCCGCAAACCGTGCAGTTGCTGCTGTTGCTGCTGCTGCTGCAGCTGCTGCAACTGCCACGAGCTGCAGCAGCAGCTGCTGCAGCAGCAGCTGTTCTTGACTGAACACCTGGAAGCAAAAAGGGCGCCTTTGCTGCTGCTGAGCCCTTTCCGGACTCAGCTTCGGAGTTTGTATGGGCTGCGTTCCCCGCTGCTGCTGCTCCTGCTGCTCCTGCTGCTGCTGCTGCTGCTGCTTCTGCTGCTGCTGCAAGCTCCACGGCCTCAACGAGCAAAGGCGAGGCCAAACAAATCGCTTGCCCCTGCCCCACCACGACAGCGTGCCTGTGTCCACAGCAGCAGCAGCACCAGCAGCAGCAGCAAACATCGGATCAACAATAACAGCGCCAGCAGCAGCACAAACTCGTTTGCTGCTGCAACGAAGGCAGCTGCGACGCGCAGCAGCAGCACCGCCTCCTCACCCAACAGCGGCCACAACACTGCCAGAAGAATCACCGCAGCAGCAGCAGCAAACAGCAGCAGCGGCAAACAGCAGCAGCAGCAAACAGCAGCAGCAGCAAACAGCAGCAGCAGCAGCAGCAAACAGCAGCAGCAGCAGCAGCAGGTGGGCGTACTTGGAGTTGTCGTCATGCTGACACGGATACTTGAGGCGGCGAGGCAGCAAAACCAGCAGCACAGGCTCAAGCGAGGGCTCGCTAGGAGACGAAAGCTGCAGCAGCAGCAAACAGCAGCAGCAACGGAGACAACAACAACAGCAGCAAAATGAGCAGGAGTAGAAACATGAATAGCAAACAGATTGGTCGGATGCACCGCCCCTACGTGCCGCTGCTGCTGTTGCATCTTCTGCTGCTGCATCTGCACTGCTGCATCTTCTCCTGCTGCTGCATCTGCGCTGCTGCATCTGCACTGCTGCATCTGCTGCTGCTGCTGCTGCTGCATCTGCCCTGCTGCATCTGCTGCTGCTGGTGCACCTGCACTGCTGCATCTGCTCCTGCTGCTGCTGCTGCTGCTGCTGCTGCTTACCATGTGGGCGATGTCTTGCAGCGACATCCAATCCGAAGGAGCGGAGAGGGGCAGCGAGTGGTAGTGTACATACAGCACGCGAGACAGCAGCAGCGGCACCTTCAAGGCGTTGCTGCTGCTGCTGCTGCTGTTGCTGTTGTTGCTTGCTGCAGTGCCAAGACCTATTTCTGCCGACGCAAGCTTTGCTGCTGCTGCACAGCAGCGCAGCACGGCACCTTCCGCTGCTGCTGCGACAGCTGCCGCATGAGCAGCACCCTTAAGCCCCGCTGCATTTGCTGCTGCTGCTGCTGCGGCTGCAGCCGCTGCTGCTGCATTTCCTGTTGCTGCCGGCTTCGTTGCTGCGGCTGCTGTCGCATCGCGCTGACTCTGTGCAGCAGCAGCAACAGCAGGTTCCACAGCAGCGCTGCTGCTGCAGCTGTTGCTGCTTCTATCTCCAGCAGCAGCAGCAGCAGCACCAGGACCGGCCTCCCCTGAGGCCCCCTGAACAGGCTGAGGTGCTGCTCCTGCTGCTGCTGCTGCCTTGGGGCTGCATGCATCCGCATCAGCAGCCGGATCAGCTGCAGCAGCAGCAGCAGCAGCAGCAACAATTGCATGCGCTGCTTCCCACTCCTCTATTCTTCTCTGGCCTATCGCCCCTAAAGCGCAGAGGCCGGAGTCTTTAAACAAATCTGCTGCTGCCAGCTTAGCAGCAAAACGAGGGAGGCCCAGCAGCAGCAGCAGCTGCAGCAGCTGCTGCAGCGCGAACGCATGCAGCACCCGATACTCCTGGCACCGGCGCTGCTGCTGCTGCCGCTGCTCTGCTGCAACAGCAGCAGCTGCTGCTGCAGCAAGAGGAGGTATGAGCGAAACAGGGCTGTCAAGAAGCACCAGATGCGGAGCTGAAGGCGGCAACTGCTGCTGCTGCTGCTGCTGCATGCGAAGCAGCCTCTCGTGCATCTGCCGCAGCAGCTCGTGCTGCTCGTACAGCAGCACATCTTCTTGCTTCCACTGCAGCAGGACCCGGATATCTGAGCCTGTCAGCAGCAAACTGCTGCTGCTCTTGAGTCGCAACAAATTAAACTCAAGCCGCTTCTCCGCCGCTGCTGCTGCTGCTGCTGCTGCTGCCTCCACGCAAGCTGCTGCAGCAGACGTGCTTGCACCGAGGGAGGACCTGCGACGGCCCCGAGAGGCTGCAGCACGGCCTGCTGCTGCTGCCCCTGCTGCTGTTGTTGCTGCTGCTGCTTCACCTGCTGCTTCAGCAGCTCCCGATGGAGCCCCTTGTCCCGCTGCTGCGCCCGCAGCTGCTGATCCTGCTGCTGCTGCTGCTGCTGCTGCGCCGCAGCATTCGTGCCCCCCTCCATTCGGCAAACCGTTGCTGTTGCTGCTGCTGCTGTTGCTGCCGCCGATACTGCTGTAGATGGCGCTGCTGCTTGCTGGTGCTGCAGCAGAGGAGCCTGAAGCAGAAGCAGCAGCAGCAAAACCGCGGGCAGCTGCTGCAGCATCACAGTCGAAGGAAGCAGCAGCAGCTCGCATGCGTACGCCCAGAGGGGCGCATGCAATGCCACCTGCGGCAAGAGACCTGCTGATGTGGAGGCTGCTGCTTGCTGCTGCTGCTGCCTGCAGTGGGTCTGCTGCTGTCGTTCCTGCTGCTGCTGCTGCTGCTGCTGCCCATTGCGATTCACGTGCAGCTCTAGCAGCAAGACGCATGCATGCATCTGCTAGCTGCAGCTGCTGCTGCCGAATGCTGTTGCTTATACCAGGGACCTGGTGCCGCTCCCTGTCTTGCCAAGGACCTGCTGCAGCTGCTGCTGGTGCTGCTGTTGCTGCTCCTGCTGCTGCTGCTGTTGCAGCTGCAGCTGCAGCTGCTGCTGCTCGGCGAGGAGACACGCGCACGCTGCGCGGGGATTGGCGGACATCCGAGCTGCTGCGCTTTTGCTGCCGCAGGTTTCCTTGAGCAGATGCAGCAGGAGCAGTTGCTGCTGCTGCTGCTGCTGCTGGTCGCTCAGGCGGCTCGGGCGCTGCTGCTGCTGCTGCAGGGGGAGCAGGAGCTGCAGCAGCAGCAGCTGCGAACTCCCCTGTGTGCTGCATTGGTCAAGGAGGGAAGCATTGCCTAGTTAGCATTGCTTGTCGCTCGCGCTGCAGCTGCTGCTGTTGCTGCAGCAGCTGCTCCTGCTGTTGCTGCAGCAGCGGCTGCTGCTGTTGCTGCTGCTAGAAATCCGTACGCTGCAGCTGCCAGGAGGCCTTGTTAATCTGCTGCGAGATCATGATGTGTTGCTGCTACTGCTGCAACACACGCGGCGTCGGGCAACACAGCTCGTGTCACTGCTGCTGCTGCTGCTGCTGCTGCGGGCCGACAGCAGTTGCTGCTGCTGGCTCAATTAGCTCCAGCTTCAGCAGCAGGGAGAAGCAGAATGTGCTGCTGTTCTACAGTGGAAATAATAACGACAAAAGGGTGGATTTGCTGCCAGCAGGCATTGTCGCAGCGGCAACAGCTGCAGCAGCAGCAGCAGCAGCAGCTGCTGCTGCTGCTGCTGCTGGGGCTGTCTGCAGCGGCTGCTGCTGCTGCTTCTGCTGCTGCGCCTCGTGCCTCAGCCTGCATGCGCTGCGACTTCTGTCCGTACTGCTGCGGAATTTATACTGATAGAAAACGCAGCAGCAAAACAAAACAAAGCCTGTGTAGCACGGGTTGCACAGGGTTTGCTGAAGCAAGTTCTATGCTGAAGCAGCAGCAGCGGGAGCAGCAGCAGCAGCAGCAGCAGCAACAGCAGCAGCAGCTGCTGCGGAAGACGCCGCAGCCAACAGAAATTCGCATCTCTTTCTTCCCAGGCTTGTTGAGGGCTCTAGTATTTAAAGGAAGACACCCCCACAGCCAGGATCGAGCAGCAGCAGCAGCAGCAGCAGCAGCAGCAGCAAGAGCCGCAGACGACTGGGCGTAACCTAGTCGGCATTACTTGTAGTTACGAGGATCTAGTGCAGCAGCAGCACCAGCTGCAGCAGCAGCAACAACAGCAGCTGCAGCACCGACAGCAGCACCAACCCCACGCTTCCTTCTCCCGCTGCTGCCTTCAGCATGGGGACAGTGAAACGTGAGCACGAGCTGCAACAGCAGCAGCAACAGCAGCAGCAGCAGCAGCAGCAGCAGCAGCAGAAGCAGCAGCCACAGATGGCCTCGAAGAAGCCGGAGCAGGAGCAGTCGGTTGCTGCAGCATTTGCTGCTGCAGTAGAAGAAGCGCTGCAGCAGGAGGCGCCTCTAGCAGCAAAGTGGTCGAGGGTCCCCCTGGGCCTTGATGGTGTGTAGCTGCCCCACCCCACACACGATTAGCTAGCTAGCTAGCTAGCTAGCTAGCTAACTAGCTAAACAGCTAGCCATACAGCTAGCTGCTAGTTGGGTAGCTAACTTGAGGGGTAGGGGTGCTGCAACACCATGGAGTCTGGAGGCTGCGGTGTAGGGTTTAGGGTTTAGGGTGTAGGGTTTAGGGTTTAGGGTTTAGGGTGTAGAGTTTAGGGTTTAGAGTTTAAGGTTTAGGGTTTGTTGCTGCTGCTACTAGAGAGAGTATAGCTAGCTATTTGCCTAGGTAGCCAGCTAGCTAGCTAGCTAGCTAGCTAGCTAGCTAGCTAGCTAGCTAGCTAGCTAGCTAGCTAGCTATGTATGTATTCGTTTGTTATGCTTTGAACAGATGAGGGCCGACTGGGTTTGTTGGTGCTGCAAGACGGCCGCGAATTTGCGGGTATTTCGTTTGGCTGCAAAAAGCCCGTCTCAGGAGAAGTCGTATTTAATACAGGTTCTAAACCCTAAACCCTAAACCCTAAACCCTAATTAGCCTTTATTAACCCTCATAAGCTCTAATGAACCCTCATTAACCTTTATTGACCCTTATAGATCCTAATAAACGCTAATAAGCCCTTGTAAACCCTTATAAACCCTGATACACCCTTACAAACATTCATAGACCCTCATAAACATTAATAAACCCTCATTATATTAATAAACACTCATAAACCCTCATTAACCCTTATAAACCCTAGTAAACCCTTATAAACCCTCTTAAACACTAATAAACCCTTATAAACCCTCTTAAACCCTACTATACCCTTAAATTAGCCCTTTGTACCCTTATTAATCCGTACAACTGCTGCTGCTGCTGCATTTGCTGCAGGGATGGTAGCTTACCCTGAGTCTCTGACGGACCCTTCTTACTCCGGGCAGATTCTAACGCTCACGTATCCACTGGTTGGAAATTACGGGGTCCCTTCCCTTGAAACAGTGCGTTGCTGCTGCTGCTGCTGCTGCTGCTGCTGCTGTTGCTGCTGCTGTTTTTGCTGCTGCTGTTCCTGCTGGTCTTCCTGCTGCTGCTGCTGCTGACGCGGTATTTGTGCACTTTGCTGCTGCTGCTTGGTGTTTGCTGCCGGTTTCCTGCTGCTGGTGCTGCTGCTGCTATACGATTCTGCTGGTGCAACATGGGCTGCTTCCGTGTGTTGCTGCTGCTGCAGTTGCTGCAGTTGTGTGTGGGTAAACAGTCTGCAGCGCGTATACGAGCTTACTGCTGCTGCTGTTGCTGCTCTTCCTGATGCTGCTGCTGCTTAGTGTTGCTGCATTTGCTGCTGCTGCTGCTGTTGTTGGTGCTGCATACATATTATCATTGATTTGTGGATTTGCTGTTAGCTACCCTGCTGCGTTTGGTGCTGCTGCGTTTGCTGCTGCTGCGTTTGCTGCTGCTGCGTTTGCTGCTGCAGGATGCGCTGGGGTTGCCGCTGCACCTTGAAGGCACTCGCGTGCATGTGAGTGGTTTGCTGGCAGCAGATTATATTCCCGCTGCACTTAGTCATTGGAGAGCGAAGAACAGCCTCAGCAATTGGCTGCAGGAGCAGCAGGTCCCCGCGTTGTGGGGTATAGACACCCGAAGCCTCACCAAACACCTCCGAGAGGTCAGCAGCAACCCCACTGCTCCCGCTGCTCTTGCTGCTGCTGCTGCAGTTCCTGCTGCTGCTGCTGCTGCTGCTGCTGTGGGTGCTGGGTCGCTCTTGTTTTGGGGGGAGCGCTTGAATCAAAGGTTCGGGCTGCAGCTCTGCTGCTGCTGCTGCTGCTGCTGCTCGTTCCACAGCAGCAGTAGCAGCAGCAGCAGCAGCAGGAAGAAGAGTGACGGTAGCTGGCGTGTGTGGGGTGTTGGGGTGTATGTACAGGTAGGAACTATGCTGGGGAAGGTGGTGGTGCTATCAGAGGAGGAGGAGCAGCAGCTGGAGCAGCAGCAGCAGTCAGCAGCAGCAGCAGCAGCAGTTGCAGCGCTGCAGTCTCGCCTGGAGTCTCACCCTTCGGTGCGGCGCATCTTATCACGCTGCAGCTGCCAGGATCAGCTGCTGCTGCTGCTGCAGCAGCGAGCGCAGCGAGCAGCAAAGCTGCAGGCCTGGGCTGCTGCACTGCAAGCAGCTGCGGGTCGTCTCCCTCTTGACGATCCCAACTCCCGCAACCTTGTTGCTGAAGTCTCTCGAAAGGAGCCTCAGGTGTTTGTCTCTCCAGTCAACCCTTCTGTAAGCCTCAGCAGCAACTGCTGCTGCTGCTGTTGCTGCTGCTGCTGCTGCTGCTGCGGTTGCCGCTGTATCTGCTGCCCTTTTGCTGCCCCCGTTCTGTTGCAGTGCTGCTGCTGCTGGTGCCACCAGTGCAGCAGTCGCAGGTGCGGCCCTGCTACTGCTTCAGCAGTTGTTGCCCATCCTGCTGCTGCTGCTGCTGCTGCTGCTGCTGCTGCAGTGCCACCAGGTGAAAGTGTTGGCTATCGACTGCGGCATGAAGACAAACATTTACCGACAATTCCTCTATTCGAACTTCCCAGATTGCAACGTAGTCCTCAAGGTAGCTGCTGCTGCTGCTGCTGCTGCTGCTGCATTGCTGCTGCATTGTTGCTGTTGCCATCGTTGTTTGCTGCTGCTGGTACTGCTGCTTCTTGCTTAGCTGTTCTTGCGGTACTGGCTGCTCTCCTATGGTTTCTGGGTCTAGGGTTTTCTTCTAGCTTCTTGGCGGTATTGTTGTTGCTGCTGCTGCTGCTACTTCTGTTGCTGCTGCTGCTGCTGTTTGCATGCAGGCAGTACCTTGGGATTACGATATAAGCAACGATTCGTTTGATGGTCTCTTCATCAGCAACGGGCCAGGAGACCCCACAAAATGTGAAGCAACTATCAAAACCATCGCGTGAGACTGCTGCTGCTGCTGCTGCACTTGCTGCTGATCTTGCTGCTGCTGCTGCTGCTGTGGGTGCTGCCATTTGTGGGGGCTTTCTTCACGCCCCTCAGCTGAAGTTGTCTTGTGGGGTGTCTGAGTGGAGCTGGCGCCTGACCTGTGCATGTGCTGCTGCTCTTCCTACTGCTTGTGCTGCTGCTGCTGCTGTTGCTGCTGCAGCAAGGCACTGAAGCAAGAGCAGCCAATATTTGGCATTTGCCTGGGCAATCAGTTGCTAGCCCTTGCTGCAGGGGCAAAGACATACAAAATGAAGTTCGGGAATAGAGGTGAGACACTTCTAAATCTGCTGCTGCTGTTGTTGCTGCTGCAGCAGCTGGTGCTGCTGCAGAGCCGCTGCTGGCTCTGCATGCGGTTTTGGGTATTTGTTTTCTCTCGCGAAGCAGCTTCATTGAGTGGTCTGACGTTGTGCTGTTTGTTTGCTTGTCTCTTTTCCTGTCTCCTTCTTTTTCTCTGTCTCCTTTTCTCTGTCTCTCTTTCTGTCTCTGTCTCCTCATCATCTGTCTCCTCTGTCTCTGTCTCTATCTCTTCTTCTTCTGTCTCCTCTTTGTCTGCGTCTTCATTATCTGTCTCCTTTGCTGTCTCCTCATTATCTGTCTCCTCTTTCACTGTCTTACTTTTTATTTGTTATTTTTTATGTGTTTGTTTGTTGGTGTTTGTCTTTGCTTCATTTTATATTTATTTTTTATTTTTATTTTTTATTTTTGTTTATTGTATTTAATTTGTTTTATTATGTTTGATTTGTTTTATTTTATTTAATTTATTTTATTATATTTAATTTATTTAATTAATTATTTATTTATTTTATTATTTTGTCTTAGGCATGAATCAGCCGGCTATAGACCTGCGAACGACGCGCTGTTATATTACTGCACAAAACCATGGCTTTGCTGTTGATACAGGTGAAGCATCTGCTGCTGCTGCTGTTGCTGCTGCTGCTGCTGTTGCTGCAGCTGCCGTTGCAGCTGTCGCTGCTGCTGCTGTTGCAGCTGTCGCTACTGCTGCTGTTGCTGCTGCTGCTGTCGCTGCAGCTGCTGAATCTGCTGATGCATGTGCTGTTGCATCTGGTGGTGCGTGTTTTGTTGCTTCTGCTGCATCTGCTGTTGCTGGTGCATATGCTGCTGCAGTTGCTGCTGCTGCTGCTGCTGAGAGGAGTATAAGTGCTGTTGGTTCATTTCTAGCAGCGTTTTGTTTGTTTTTTTTTTGTTTTTTTTTCTTTTAAGTGTCTCTGTGTTTGTTTAAATGTGATGAAGCATCACAGCAGCAATGCAGCTGTCTCCTCAGCTCTTATTTGTCTCTATTTTTATTCAGACAGTCTCCCTGCTGACTTTACGCCTTTGTTTATCAACGCAAACGACCGCAGCAATGAAGGCATCTCCCACCGATCGAAGCCCCACTTCGCTGTGCAGTTCCACCCAGAGGCCTCAGGTGTATATACATATAATATATATATATAATATATAATATATAATATATATATAATATATATTTATATAATATA